ACTAAATATTGAATTGGGTTGCCTCCCAATAAGAGTCTTTTTTTTAATGTCTTTAGCTAGACAATATTATGCTTGTTTATGGAAAATAAAATTTTGTAACTCGTTTCAATGCTTCATCCTCTATGTAATTTTGGTAACCCTCGTAAATAGAGTAATCTTTGAACACACGAGCTACAGTTTTCCATGGACTAGTAGATGGCGCCAAACAAACAAGTAATGATCTTAATTCTTCAGAAACTCCTTTATCATGAGTACTTACTGGTTCTAAATATTTGACCATAGCAACTCCTAATTTATTTCTGTCATGAAACTCAAAATCTTCCTATATAACAAAATCAATTTCACTAATAGAAATTATAGAATAAGAGTTAGGAGAATGTTGGTTAGGGAATAGAAGGGATGTTACCATATTTGGAGATTGTTCACTGGATTCATTCACTTGAACAATTTGATATTGGGATCTTGATTTTTGCACTTCAACTGCATCTTTAGGTCCTTCTTCTCGAGACTCTTGCAGTTCCATATCACTTGTCAAGATAATTGTACTCTCATCTTCCTTAAGGTCGATGATGGTCTATGAGGGCAATTCTTCACAAATTAGAGAGATCAATTGGCTTATTATAGATGCCAATTCACTCATTCCATCCTCCATCCTTTTAATCATCATTTGTGTCTCCTGTTGAGGTCGATATGTGTTAGCAGTTACTAATTCCATCATTTTTTGAAGAGACATATCTGACATGGATGATGGTTGTTAAGACTCTTGCTGTTGAAAACCCATTATCTCCTATTGAAGTCGATGTGTGTTAGCAGTTACTAATTCCATCATTTCTTCAAGGAACATATCTGACATGGATGATGGTTATTGCTGTTGATATTGATGTTGAAGACCTATTGACCCTTTTGCATAATTCAAGCTGAAATTATTCTACCATCCTTGATCATACTTGTTTTAATAATACCACGTTTGAAATCGAAGTGAAAAATCTCCAAATTAATTGATTGAGACATTCAGGTAATCTTGAAATGCGAGGCACATATCGGTTGAATGAGCCGTGGCATAACAAATTTCACATGTTGCAACAACCATTTTTTCTATAAGAGAGTTCAATGAATCTAAATGTTGATCATCAGAAAAAAAAAACACAAGCCTTATTAGCTCTCTTAGGAAAAAATCCAGTCCATTACCAAAATATTGAGTGTTAGCAGCCATAAACTTGTAAAAAAAAGAGAAAAAATAAAAATGAAAATAAGATGAATTCAAAAAGAAACAAATTAATTAGACACCAGTCCCTGACAACGGCGCCAAAAATTGACAGGTGTCACACCGTGTAATAATAAATTCCTGCTCTAAAAGATGTAAACGAGTACAATGACAAATAGAATCATCTCTGCAGGGATTGGGAGGAAACTTGTTTCTTTTCAAACAGAGTCAATTAAGGGGGGGGGGGGGTTTGGGAGATTTAAAATTAGAATAAAGCACTTAATGAAAATAAAACTAATTAAACAAGAGTAAATTAAATTAAACCATGGATTAACAAACTCTAGTCAAGGAATTAACTCCGAAGGTGGTTCGTACAACTGATTATCGATGCAAGAATTTTCTCAATTATTCACTAATAAACGGGTTATAGTTGTCATACAAACGATAAACAACCAACTTTTCCTTAATGTCTCGATAGTTAAGGTACGCTCGTTAACTACTTCTCTAACCAAGAAGCAACCCTAAGTATGCTTGTAAAATTTAATTTCTTACTTGCATTAAAAACTAGAAAAATCCTATTCTAATCAATAAACACACTACCAGAATTTATTTAAATTAGATCGTACATCTCCCTAACGTGGCCCCAATCATGTTAGTCATCACTTATTTGGGACAATTAAACAATTACGAATTCAACTATCCTAATTGACAATAGATTATCAAGTCGAATTAAATATCAGGTCCTGATATTCAAATAACAAAATAATCATAATAAATTAAGCCAGAAGATATACGAATACTAATGAATAAAAGAAATTAATAAAAATAATTAGATCTCATAGATGTAGATGAACCAAATCCGTGTTACTCCTCGGCTAGAAAAATGATTTAGCTATGCTTCATCGAGGGAAATCCACTGGACTCCATTGATAACAATTGCATATGGTTGTTGCCCTAAAACTAACGAAAGATAAGAAGAATAATGAAACAAGTGACGGCCGTGTCTAATACTTCAAAGAGTCCTCCCGAGAAATTGTTGCTAGCCAACTCCTAATCAAACGGGAATCTGACTTTCCTAATTTCTCTTGTTTTCTACTTAACCTCAACGACTAATAATAAGTGTTCCTTTTATTCGCGTCTCACATAATTCCCTACAATTAGCACAATTAACTAAATATAAGTAGAATTTAGTAATTAAAATAATATTTGGCTAAAATCAAGGGGAAATAATTATAAATTGAATAACAATTTTGCACCCTATCACTTTGTTTTTATATTTTTGTGATGATAGTAAGTAACTCAAGCTTGAGGCAAAGATCTATGGGAGGGATGTAACTAAAGTTCATAAATCATAAATCATATAGAAGGATACCCAACCTAATGATTGGAGACCTGAGGAGTTAGGTTCAAAGGAAAAAATGAATTACATGGTGATTTGAAAATAGGTATGCACAACTTTTGATAATTATGGTCCATTCTTATGGTGTATCTGTATGCATCCTATAACAAAAGAAAGGTTGAGCTATATTGCTTTTAATGAATCTATAACTCTGATAAGTGGTGTGTTTGAGTTACACGGGAGTACCCTTGATGAATTTCACCTACATGAGTGCAACAGAGGGGTCGCCCAAAAGGGAATTGGAACTTGTTCTCTTATACATTCATAAAAAACCGGGATTAAACCCAAGCTGTAAAATGCCAGTTTTGAAAGCTTATGACAACACTTGGACTATTGTGTGTGTAAGATAATATCCAATATCCCAAAAGCAGCCATACTTCAAGACTAAAAGTCACTCTTGGTTCTAGTATTGGAAATTACTATAACATTCAATATAAGTTCAAGGCATTGCTAACCATATTATGTATAGTAGCTCTTTCTTGCCATATCATAGTATACTATGTTATTTTATTAAAATAAGTGGGGGATTGTAGTAGTATTTTAATAAAATAGTCAATTTTTAATTAAATGCATATGTTAAATGAGAGAAATTTGGTAACGGCTTTTTTGGAGTTGGTGGCAATTGATTACATTTGATTAATTAACCTTTTTTTTTTTTAGAAATTAAAGGTTTTCAATTACAATAACTTTATAACCTACAGTTCTAACTTAAATGTAATTTGATTAGCTAATAACTTTGCTTTCTCTTTAAATCCACATGCATCTCTTATTAGAGCAATGAGTCTGGTTTAAAGGCTCAAATCAGTAACTTTAATAGCTCGAACTTAAAGTAGGCTAATTCCATCATTTATTACTCAAAAAAAAAAAAAAATCATGCAAGTATTGATCTGAGAGAGAGAATGTATTGAACTACAAAGCCGACAGGCTACGAAATTTTTTTTTTTTTTCAGCCCAGCAGCCAGCTGGATTTTTTTCAAACAGAAAACTGCCCGGGAGTCATCATCAAAAGCAAAAGAAAAAAAAAATGTCAGCAGTCAATTATTAAAAAAAATGACTAGTCAACCTTGCTAATCAATCCAATTGAGCAAAAATTAATTAGTCTATTCTTTAGGAATGCGTAGCAAATATCATTCAAGCAGAAAAACAAAAATTACCATCTCAATCAAATGTTTCTTCTTAAACATTAACCTTAGAACATTGCGTGATTATTGATCTCCATCCATGGATCACAAAATGCCTGCAAATAGCTGATAAATGAAGACTTGAAAAATCTTAAAAATTGCCAAAAGAAAAAAGAAAAAAACAAAGATACCATTTCCAAAAAAAAACGTAAAAGTAGACTGACTGCTGACATTTTTTTTTCCGTAGCCATCAGATTTTTTTTTTTTTTTAAATCCGGCTGGCTGCTGGGCTGACTCTGCCTAGCAGTTCAGCAATTAAAAAAAAAAATTCGTAGCCTGATTAAGCCCAATAGGTGTAGTACAATACAATCTCTCTATCAGACCAACGCTTGCACGATTTTTTTTAAGCAATAAACGAAGGAATTAGCCCTTAAAGTCTGTATTCAAGGCAATACCTGGTGAGAAAAAAAACATTTTCAAATATCAAATTTGGTAATTCTAATGAGTAAAATTACAAGGTTCTATTTTTACGCTGGAGATATTTGTTATCGTTATATCAAAAAGTAACTTGTATAAATTAGTTACGTTCTCCATGCTCCAAAACAGGGAGAAGATCCAACCTGTATACATATACAAAGTGCTAATCTCTGCCCATTTTAAAACCATTATTTTTGTTGCACGGCTAATTTCTTTTATTTTTTTTGTACAATTTTTGGTACATTGAGAAGCAGCTATTGAGGTTTTTACATCATTATATTTAGGGCAAAAAATCTCCGCGGCCATTAAACTATTGGTCAGATCATGTTTTGACCATCAAACTATTTTTCGTCAATAATTGGCCACTAAACAACTTAATCAGTAAATTCGTGACCATTTGATAGATAATTGCTCTTAATATGAAAAATTAACTGTACACGTGACAAATTATGGGATCAATTTTGTCCGGCAACTAGTTGATCGTATTCTCCTCTTATTTCTTTCATGAAACAATCACCGAATGGAACATCACTGAAAATAAAGACTCAATTGGGAGCCCTAAATCTTCAGCCACAAATCAAAGAAGCTGGAGGAGAAGATGAAGAATGTCGAGGAGCTCTCCTAAACCCATACCTAGATGCGCCTGCGAATTAACATCAACAATGAAAACCTCATGGACAAATTAGAACCCAGCAAGAAGATTTGTGGTATGCCCTTTAGGAGAGGTAAGATTTTTCCTAGAAATGACGTCTTTACCAGAAAAAGAGTGACGTCTAAAAGCCGGCTTGCGGAAAAGCTCTCAGCCTTCATCTGGGTTAAGAAACCTCATCCGCTGAACGATTCCTTTGTCGTCGGCTAATGACGAAGCTATATTGTTCGCAACTCTGTCATCCCGAGTGGTGAGCTGCGCTCTACTGGCAGTTGGTTCTCGAGACGGAAGTGCAATGCGGAGGCACTCCCAAGCATCGGCAAAGCAGACATCATCCAAAACAATCAAGAATCTCTTGGACTGCAGGAACTGGTAAAGCTTCTGAGCCAAGTCCAAGTCTGAAAATAGGGCCATGTCATCCCTGGCTCGGTAGACATATTGCAGCAGCAAATCTTCCAAAATTTTTCTGGTGCCGAAGTCCTTCCCCACCGTAGCCCAAGCAAAGCAAACAAAATGGCGGCGGACGAAGCAGTCCCCAGGTACCTTTTGGGCGAGAGTTGTCTTGCCGATTCCGCCCATTCCAAACATCCCAATTTAGAAAATCAATCGCGTAGTTAATAGACAAAATTGCCCCCAAACTTTGCCACGTGTATTACTAATTTCACAGATTAAGAGCAATTATCTATCAAATGGTCACGGCTTTACTGATTAAGTTGTTTAATGGCTAATTATTAACAAAAAATAGTTTGATGGTCAAAACATGATCCTACCAATAGTTTAGTGGCCGCTGAGGTTTTTTGCCCTTATATTTATCAAAGTCCTTATATTGCATCAATAATTTCGAGTGTATTTATTATTGTTGCTGTTTCCGTGTCGTTGATGCGAAATTTCTTGTTGTGTCAATCTGGTCTACTAAAAATGAATCCTTTTTTTTAAATGATTCCTTAATTTAGTGCCAAACTGTCCAAATTGGAGTGCAAAAGAATAGGGAATTGGACAAAGATGTTGCCTTCCCCTTTGGAAGGCAAGTATTAGGACAAACCCGATCCCAGCTGCGTACCAAATGATGTAGTGAAGACTACTGTACAAGTCAACTCAAATGTAAGGTTGCAAATCGGCGAGTCGAGCTTAGACTTGATCAAGTGAAGCTAGACTTATATTTTTGGCTCGCAGTTAAATTGAAAATCAATTGAGCACCTATCGTACATCTCATGTTCTGTAATTGACCTTGTGTACATAACTATGATCTTTTTTGAAAATGAATTTAATTGCACTTGGGGATAATGATTAACAAAGGTACAAAACTACATTCACAAATAAGTTTGGCACGAGCTCTGTTAGAGCCTTTTATCAAGCTACTCAAACTCGAGTTGGGCTAAGCCACTACCATTATAAAGATCATTTTAGTTGGGAAGAAAAATTCTCATCAAAAAGTGGAAAGTGCACAACCGTTTCAAACAAAATTTCTACTCCTGTTAATTCAAAACCATTTCTTAATACATCAATGAGTATAACTTTAAAGCTCAAACTCAATGTGTTAGTTTCAAGAATAGTAAGTCGGCTCAGTTGACAAGAACGTATTACTTTTTCACAAAAAATCGTGAGTTCAAATCCCGCTGCTATAGTTCTGAAGGCATATTTTGACACGTGAAGGTGACCGAAACCGAACCCACTAAAAAAAGAAGTTTCAAGACTAGAAATAATCATTTTCTTCAGGGCAATTTATGGGAAGCATATTTGTGAGTCAAATTTAAAAAATTATTTCAAGATTCGGGTGGTTCATTTTCGTCAGGGTATATTATGGATTGAACTTCAGTATAATTCTAGGAAAAACAAAAAAGTATGGTCAACAGGCAGCAAATAAAGATTGAATGTTTAGCCGGGGCGGATGTCCTGGCCAGGCGACTTCGGTGATGAATGAGGTGGTTGTTGCTGAGTTAACTTGCTTCTTTGGATAGCTCCTAAGCAGTATTTGATTCTATCACCTGACCCAGTGTGATTTTGCTTCTTTCTGATTTTCATTTAGAGTTTTGCTTGTACAATTTCTAGAGGCCATGTTACTAGAATTTTCTGCTATTTCTTTTGGGCACGAACTTAGTTGTGATGCCATTTTGCGGCCCAATGGTAGCATCGGTACTCGAAGCCGAAACGTGACCTGAGATGGGTTTTGGGACCAAGAGAATATGTGGGTCTAAATTGTATCATTGTCAAGGGAATAGGTAGAAATGGTTTGAACTGCTTTAATTTTCATATTGATACGATTTTTTTTTGTAAAAAAAAAATAATTAGTGAAAAATACACAAATTTTACAAGTTAATTAAAACTAATAAATCAAGAAATAAAAAAAATTTTACTTGCTGTGCCACATTTTCGTTAATCATCTAGTGGCTAAGTTTAAAACCTCAAAATATAAAGATTTTGAGTATCAATCATCCTCTCCTCTCCCTACGCTGCTAGAAAAAGGAAAACAAAAAGTTGAGCCAATTGTATTGCAAAATGGCAACTTGATCATTCATTTGCTTTTGACCAATTAAAAATTATCCAAATCCGCTCTAATCTTCATCTTCATACATTAATTAGTAAAAAAAATTATGGCTATTCAGAAATGAAATAGTAATTGTGAAAATAAAGAAAATTAAACCGCAAATATGAGGGAAAAAAAACCTGCAGTGCAAAACATATTGTTGATGGTCTTAACTCGTTCTAAGTTTTTCATTGTCATTGCTCCACTCCCTTCCCAAAGATTAACTCTATTGGAAAATAAAAATTAATTTCCACAAACAAAAAGGAATGCTGAAACTAACAAACACATAATCAACATGTTAAATTTATTTTGTCTGACCAATAATTCAGTTTATTATTGTTTCTGGTTATGGAGATGAACCCATTTTGGCAGCAAAAGCAACTAATTGTGTTCTATGGCACTAATATTTTCAATCTTTATAAGAGCAAGAATATGATTGAAATTTGCTTCTCATATAGTTCCTCTTTCATATAGTTCCTCTTTCAATACTTGCAGATACATTGGACCTTTTTCCAAATTCGAGAATCCCAATAAAGTAACTAGGACCAATTCATCTCCTTCTCATGTTCCAATTGAACACTTTCCATGTTTGCTTTTTCTCTGAAGAACGAGATCTGCAGTACTCGTAGAATCTCGATAGGATCCAATAATCAATATAAAAAGACCATGCTCTTCTATAATAAGGGCTAACATAAAGAATTACCACTAATGAAATCACGATCACCATATATGAAGCAAAAAAGCTCCAAGCGAATGCTGCCACGTCAATTGCACCATCAACTTCGATGTCTTGATCACCAACATTTTCAGGGTGTGGAGCAAAGGGGTTACAACTTCTCTTGAGCAATGGTCCACAGAGACCTGGATTTCCTCTATAATTGCTGTCGTCAAAGTTTGCAAACTCCCCTGTATCAGGTACCCTGCCAGACAAGTTATTGTATGACACATTGAAGATGGACAAGAAGTTCAAGGATGCCAGCTCTGAAGGTATTTCACCACTCAAATCGTTGTAAGAAAGATCCAAGCTCTCTACTAGGTTCAACATGGAAAGTCTTGAGGGAATAGACCCTTGCAAGTAGTTGTGGGATAAATTTAATGCCCGGATATGTCTGAGATCACCAAATTCAGGAGGAATCGCTCCAATCAATTGGTTACATGACAGATCAAGGCCAGACATGAAATTCAATATATTCCCTGCATAGTGTTCGCTTCTACTTTTTGTTGTGAATATCACTTTTTCTTGCTCGGAAAAAGTAGTTATATAATACTCACTCGAGATTATCTCCATGGCCAAAAAAGGAAGGTTTATGGAGGAGGGATCAATAACAGAATACCGGCCATAGGCAAAAAATGCATCTGTGGAGAACTGCCCTCTGCCAAAAGAAATGTTGTTGAAGCATGTAGGCAGTGGCCCAGAAAACTTATTCTGAGAAAGATCCATAATTGTCACATTCTGCAGCTGACATAAGTGCAAAGGAATATCACCATGCAATCCATTTCCCCCCAATAGAAGAACCCTGAGCTCTTTAAGTTTACCAATATAGCGTGGTATACCGCCAGACAGCTTGTTGTAACCCAAATCGAGTGTCATCAAATTGAAGCTCCCAGACAGCATGTTTGAGATGGGCCCTGAGATCATGTTGTGATGCAGGTGGATGAACTTCAATGACGTAAGCTCGGAGCAGGCTGGTAAAGGTCCGATCAACTGATTTTTGGAGAGGTCTAAAAATTCAAGATGTGAAAGTTTGCATATAGCATCTGGTATGCTACCTTCTAGCAAGTTGGCTGACATGTCAAGAGCCTTCAAATATGAAAAATTTCCAATCCAACTTGGAATTTTGCCTTGAAAAGAATTGTTTGAAATATCCAGCCAAGATAAACGTGGAGAACGAGATAATCCATGTGAAATGCTCCCAATAAAATGGTTATTATCCAAGTGAAGGAATTGTAGGCTTGTTAAGTTCGTGGACCCAGAAGGAAAATTGCCATGCAAATTATTATAAGACAATACCAATATTCTAAGACGTAAACATCCAGTTCCAATTTGACCTGGCACCTCCCCTGAAAACTTGTTATGGGACAAATCAATTGATATTGCCATTGTCAAGTTTCCCAATGAGTGGGGAATATTGGCTTCAAATGAATTTCCTGACAAATTCAACGACTGCAGAAATGGATAAGATAAACCGATATTTTGAGGAACCTTACCACTGACGTCATTGTCTGAGATGTCTAATCGGAGTAGATTTATTCTCAGAGAATCATCCACAAGAAACGGACCCGTAAAAGAGTTATCGTTTAGAACAAGAACTTCAAAGTTTGTATTATTTTGCAGAAGCCAAGTAGGAATCTGGCCGACTAACTTATTGGAAGAAAGATCAAGAATTTGCATTTCTTTCTGATAGAGCAGGAAACTTGGGATTCTTCGAGTCTGATTATTCAAGTTGCAGCCAGATAAATAGAGAACCTTTAGCTGAAATGGTGGGGGGAGAGCAAGATCCTCAGTGTCGACATGTAAATCATTGCTTTGAGGTACAAGTTCGAACACCTGAAGCTTCGAATGGTTGGCCAAAGAATTGAAAGAAAAAGAACCTCCAAAAAGGTTGCCAGAGAGAGATAGATACTCAAGGTGTACGAGAGGAGTAATGAGAGCAGCAGGGATGTTTCCGCTGAGAATATTGTTGGAGAGATCAAGAACTCGAAGAGACGTCAAGTTTCTGAAGCACATAGGAACAGGCCCGTAAAAATTATTGTCACTCAGGTGAAGTTCATCGAGATTCTTCAAACTGCAAATTCCTGTCCAAAAAACAAGTTCATTGTAAGCTTTTCATACAGTAATAGTTGATGCTAGGCATGAATTGTCAATATATAGCCAATTCAGAAACCATGAAATCATATGTTAGACGCAAAAAAATTGAAATGTTGGTTTCCAAATTTCATCCGTTCTAGCTCAACATTTGAAAAGTAAATAGCAACTTCATGCAAGCAACAGACCCTTTCACAGCCTATCTTATTACCTTGAAGGACGGAGGAATCATTAATACCAATACCGTTCAAAGATAAGGCTTTGAGAGAAGTTAAAGCCTCAATGTTGTCTGAGAGTTTGTTAAAATTTGTATCTCCAAGATTGAGTACCTTCAAGTTCTCCAGCTTCAATTCTGCAGTTCAAAACTTTATGTTAGTATTATAGTTTTGGATATATCAAAATTACATAACTATTGTTGCATCTCCATCCCCTATTCTATAAGAATTTGTATATTTCAAACAAGGTAAATTATGCCACAGGTCAACAAAATTTTCAAAGTCTTATTTAATCCACTATACTATTTTTTCACGTCAATGATGCATTGAACAGCTAAAAAGGATCAAATTGGGCTATTCTAAAAAGGATAAGGAACCAGAAAATCCAGCATCATATAAGTTAAGAAGCCCCAATTTTTTCAGACAATTGCATTCTGCAGCAACAAGATGATCCAAGAACTCTTACAATGGGCAGATTCCACGCCCACAACCCTAATGCCTATAGATTGGGCATTTTTTATCTTTTCTGGTATATCTATACTTTAAAATTTTGGTATATCACCACATTAAAAATAAAATTAACTAATTAACATCTTTCAGACTACTGCTCGCATGTTAGTGCACAGATATTTGTGAAGGTAAAATTGAAAAGAACAAGACGCTTTACAATTAAAGTTCACATTTAAGAGCTTTTAATTGGAATAGAGTACAAATAAATAATACTAAGTCATTATAAGTATAGATATTCACTTACTTCTACGTGAGAAACAAGAACTAAAACAATGAAGCGGAAAAGAAAAAATATAAGTCAAAGAAATTTACGTAAGGTCAAAGAGAGTCTCATAAAAGAATTAGGAAATGCTAAATTTCTTTCTTTTCGAAGAAATTCTGCTTTATATTCTTCTTTACTTGTTGGCCAATATAATATTTTCTTAAAATTTTGCAGTGACATTTTTTTTTGTAAATTTTATTTCTCTACTTTTTTTATGAATCAAGTTATTTTCTTACTAAAGTACTTCTGTTTCATAATGTTTTGCTAATATAGTTTTTTACTTTTTTATTTAATTTTCAAAATGTTTTCTAATAAAGCACGTCAACAATCAGTAAACTTTTCTAAATTCTCATTTAGTCCATTTTATTATTTTCATATATGCAATGAGGAAAATGTTCCAAATGTAACGTGCAATTCACATGCCATAAATTTTGTCTCTTTTTAATTGAAAAAATAAATAGAACGACCAATTAATTGTTTTTAGGAGTTTAGCAGTTCAGTTGACATAGGCAACACTACAGTTAGCTAAATTAGATTTTAGAAAGGTTTGGTGATTCACTTTATCCTGAAAAATAACATTTTGAATTCATTACTAGATCTGTAACTTCATAAACCAAATAGCCCTTATAATATTAAGCATTGATATTTAACATAAGATCAGAATAGGACAAAAATGTATTTTCTAAATTAAAATGAAAAGAAAAATCAAATTACTGATCCTTCATGTTATTCATGTTCCATTTTGCAATTGAAAGTTAATTAAACCACCTAAAACGAATGGATAATTCTAATGTACAGCTAATCTAGAAATGTAGGCAAAGTTTGTTAATTTTAGGAATTTATTTTCTTATTGGAATTTGGACATAATATAACATCAAATTATAGAAATAGGGAAAAGTACACAGATAGTTCTGTCCTATCCTTATAATCTTGAAATAGAAAGAGAAAATAATGGTTATACTCCAAATCATGTGACAGGATCCAAAGAAAATTATTTCGCATCTAACTTATTCTGGGAATGTAATTTTTTTTTTTGTTAAAAAAAAAACACGTATCCCAGTTAAACTATATGCACCTTTATCTCAAATTGGATATGCGTACCTTTAAAGGACAAGGAACCAGAAAATTGATTATAGCTCAAGTCAAGAAACTCCAATTTTTCCAGACGCTTGAAATCTGCAGCAAGAAGATGATCCAATTAGAACGGGCAGACTGCGGTCCAACAACTCTCATGCTAATGGATTCTACAATTTTATCTTTTCTGTATATCTCATGCTCTATAATTTTGGCATATGCAACATCTCTCACAACTAAATGCTGAATCATTCTAAGTTCAGATATTCATTAATTTTTATGTGCTGAACAGAACCCAAAACAAATGAAGTAGAAAAGCAAAAATAGAACAGACACAAAGTCAAAGAAAATTGTGTAAAAAGGTTAAAGAAAGTCTCATATAAGAATTATAGATAGCAAGTGAATATACCTTCTATAGGAAACGATCCCTCTAAATACCTGGAATTAGAGAGAGACAGCCTTTTAAGTTCAGTAATTGCAGTTATACATGGAATTATACTATTGTTGAAGTTGTTATCGTCGAGGTTTAAGGACTTGAGATTTTGCAACTTAGCCCAATTCCTGCAGCCTGCAAAAGCACGAATCAGATTCTAATAAACGGACTAAATAGCAAAGAAACCCCTTTGGCTAATATACACATTTCCTCCTTATAATTTGAAAAAGCACAATTTAATTGTTAGCTTTTTTTTATAATTTAATAATCGAGCATAATTAAAGTTTTTTAATAAAAAAAAACAATGATGAAATAATCAAATCGACCTTTGAACCATGTCATAAATAAATTATAGACAAAATTTGGTGTCAAATATAATTCCAAAATGACATCATCGCAAAAATTAAATTTCATAACAAAGCTTCTTCTTCCCTACTGATTTCTGGCAAAAGAAACACTTATTAGAGCTTTGCAAAGGGAGCTGATCTATTCCTTCAACCAAAAGAGGTTTTCGATATTTGACTCGAAATAAAAGGATGTGAGAGGTAAAATTTATCACACTTTTATACTTTCCACGTCGACAAAGATATAAATGTTTGCTTTTCGTTTTTGTTTTCATAAAACTTGATTATAGCACTTATTAGGTAAGATTGTTTGATGCGAATGATCCAGGAAATTATGCTCCCAGTATGTTGCTGTCGGGTAAAATAAATAGCACTTTCCTCCAAGATTAACAGAGTCAATCTAATCATTAGGAGCATAAAGATCCCGCCAATTGGATTGGTACAAACTAAGATGTATGAATTTTCATCTTCTTGTAGCTTTGCAATCAATATGGGATTCTCAAGCAATACATCACTAACTGCACTTACTATATCTAACATTTGTACCACGTCAAGTTTAAATATATTAACCTTCAAAAAAATCTTCTTAAATATTGTGCGATAACTCTTTCATGAGATGGTGAGAATATCAATACAACACTAAAGAAAACCAACGATTTAAGAAAAAGATGGAAGGGTAGCTACCTGTCACTTCACCATTGAAGTAATTACCCCTCAGGTCTAGAGCTCGCAGGTCCTTCAGAGGTATGAAAGTGCTAATGTTTACATACCAATCGGTCCAATCCTCATACGTATTCTCTGGCAAATTACTAAGGTGGAGTTCAACAATTCTCCCAGTAATATTACTACACTTGACCCGTTCCCAGGTGCAGCAATCAGCATTTGCTCCATCACCTTCTTTTCCAGTCCACGAAGAAAGGATAAGATGAGCATTTGTAGTCACATTTAAGGAAGCTTTGAAGTCCAAGAGAGCATGTTTTTCTTCTGAAAAGCAACCTGAGCAAAGTTGCCTTCCATTGAGTATTATTGATACAGCAAGAGCCCATGAGGCAATCAGAATGGAATGACCGCGCGTGATTTCAGTATGGAGAATTAGTGATGGAAAGTGTTGTAATGAAAATGGAGGGCAGGATAATTTATAATCGCTTATCAATGTACTGGAACGCTGGTCCGGAGACCGGAGACAAGTCAACTCAGGTGTAAAACAGTGGCGAATTTACACTTGGGGCGCTGGGGGAACAGGCCCCACTCCCCCTCTTAAATCTCTATGATACTTATAATAATTTGATGTAATTTCAACTGTATCTCTTAGAGTTTTTGTGTATCTATTGGTTTATAAGCTCCCATTGCCTCTTAAATTTTTATAATACCTACAAAAATTTGATATAATTTCAAGTGTGCTCCCTGGAGTTTTGTGTATCTATTAGTTACTTATATTGAGAAAAATATACTTTGTGAAGTTCAAAATAAAACGGTTGTAAACCGTTATCAAAATATGAAATCTGGTCATGAGCAATTATAAATGGTTTAGTTTGCTTTTGAAATAAAACTATTATTACATTAATAATTTTGAGTTTGTCTTTTGATGTTTTTCATGAAATATATGCATCATTTGTACTTGTTGATTAATATTTTTTTCCTTAAAAAAGTAAAAAAAAGAGTAGGTAAAAAATTTTAGAATTGCTTTTGCTCCCACTAAAAATTTTTTCTAGCTCTGCAACTGGTGTAAAACGTCAAGTATGCGATCAAGCCTAGTTGGACTCATTATATTAGAGGTTTCTTACATTCTTCTAAGCAACGCTACAAATTAACTCGTTATATTATCAAAGTCCATAATTGAGTTATTATTTTGAGTGCATTATTGTTGTTGTTTTTCATGTTTTTGATAAGAAATTTCTACTTCGGTCCGTCAATCTGGCGGGCAGAAAATGAAATGAAGTGCAAAGTTGTCAAAATTGTACTATTACATTATATTGTTATACTGAATATAATATATATATATATAAAGTATTTAACCATTTATATAACAATGTAATGTTATTATATATCAAATAATGTAATAAGAACAATAACCATACCCAACATATAAAATTACAACCACGCAGCCCGTGTCCCATATTCAGATGTCTACAAATAGAGCTTGAACATTTGAGCACTCAGATGTTCATAACCTGTTGAAGTTAAAGGAGGGCAGCAAAAATTCGACAGGTAAGAGAAACCTATGCCTGTAATCGATATGGGCACTGCCACACATCCTCTTGTGGAACTGGAAGCTGCAAAATCAGCAACTAAATTATTGTACACCGTTGCCGTTTGTTTGGATAGTCAACTTATCCCAAATAATATTTCCTCTGTATCATAAACACATTTTCCAACCCACCTTTTTATATTCTCAACCACCGTTTTATCTCACATACATCACATCACAAAAAGTGCTGATCAAGGTAAGTGACATCACATCACCTTTTTATATTAAGTTCAATAACTAACTCAAAAATTAAGCTCAACAACTTTGTATATTAAACTTTCACCACTCTATTCAAGTGGTATGTACCTTATCTGATCAAGGTAAGTGACCATATTTATGTAATAATGTTAACAGTTGAAGTTGACGGAGTTAGCCTCATAATTAATGAGAACAAAAATAGTTCAATAGGCTAAGTGAAATTTTATAATAATTTGATGACTTCTAGCGCATTTTACTCTAAAATTAATTATGTGATTTATGACTGTAAGCACAAAATGAATTATAGATTTTGATCTAATAGTTAAGGTTGAGATTTCAAGATTTAAAGATTTTGGGAGGGGTTCCATTCTCTCTTTTTTCCTCTTGCTTTTTTAAGTCCTGCCCTCTCCTGCTTGCAAAAACAAAGCACAAAGTGAACAATAATTAAATACAACAAATAGAAGAACACAAATAAAATCCAAAAGTTAGAGAGGTAAGAACACATAACACGAAAATTTCTAAACTACTATAATTTCTGACACAAATGTAAATTAATTTACGTTTTTATATAATGAAAAGTTCTATTGTTGAATGCGTTCCTAATATTTTGAGAATTGATCATTAGGGGAAAAAAAACAAACATGGAATCGGACGTCCTAATTAAGAAGCTACAAACACCCCAATAGATTAACCACCGATTTAGGGCTTTCGACTTTAGTTTTAGGAATATGCACAAGCAAAAAAAATAGAATGATTGATTTGTCTAATCTCAAATACGAAATACTCAAAATCTATGCATAATGGTATAGAATCAAGATTCATTAGGCATTGTTAACAAAGCATTATTTATTTAGTTTTCCCAGAAAATTACCTTTCACCCTTGAATTGAGAATTTCATTTCCAAATCTTTTTTTTTTCTTTTGGAAGTGCAAAAGTTTGAATTCAAAACCTGCTACTTACAATCCATTTGTCTTACCACCCAACCCTCCCCCTTATTTCCTAATCTTGTTTAATTATTTTCTAAAAGTGAAGCAAAAAATTTCTTTTTGCTTATTACTAAAAACACTCCTTTTAGTTCTTCTTAAGTTCTTAAATTATTTCTATAAATTTCCTTGTCTCCTCCCCGCTTCTTAAACCCCACCATTTTCCTATTATATATATATATATATATATATATATATATATATATGGTTATGTTAGTTTACTCAAACTCGACCAAATATAGTTAGTTGAGCTCAAACGAACTCATCGAGCATTATAAACTGCAGAGTAAAGTAGGGATACTAATTATCTTTTTTTGTTTCTTATCTAATTTAAGTTTACTGCTTTTTTTTTCAATCTCCTAAGACATGTGAAGTAGGCTTTATGTTTTGAGAAATAAATTGATACTTCCTGTTGAGATTATTTGTGCATTACATGAATTAAATTCCGATAATCATGAAAATGAAATTTCTCTTATATCTTTTTTCTGGGTAAAGTAGGGATACTAATTATCTTTTTTTGTTTCTTATCTAATTTAAGTTTACTGCTTTTTTTTTCAATCTCCTAAGACATGTGAAGTAGGCTTTATGTTTTGAGAAATAAATTGATACTTCCTGTTGAGATTATTTGTGCATTACATGAATTAAATTCCGATAATCATGAAAATGAAATTTCTCTTATATCTTTTTTCTGGGTAAAATACCAAAAAACTCTATGATTTGACAAATGTTCAATTTAACTCCCTCTGGTTTGGAAACCTACACTATAGCTTCCTATGGTTTCGATAAATTGGACAGAAAGCATCAAATCTAATGGTTGTGTATGAAATGTCAATATTGCCCCTACTATGTGTGAGATGCTTTCCATTTAATTTTCAATTTAGTTGAAACCGTAGGGAGTCATAGTGTAATTTTTTAAACCAAAGAGAATTAAATTGAACATTCAACAAACCATAGGGAGTTCATTTATATAGAGACAATATTGACATTTCACGTATAACCATTAGATTGGATGTTTTCCGTCCAATTTTCAATTTAGTTGAAACTACAGGGACTTATAATATAGATTTTTAAATAAGAAGAAATTAAATTGAACATTTAACAAACTATATTGAGTTTTTTTAGTATTTTATCCTTTTTTTGGGTCAATTAACAACATCTATATTTACTTTACTCCGACTTCTACTCCAGTCAATTTTAAGGGGAGGTAGCCCAATTGGACTATGGGAATCAATCGAAATTGAGTTATCATTGGATCAAATGGAAACACTGCACACTTATATAGATTTGGAGAAGCATAAGGGAAAATGAAATTTCCCTTATGAGAAAAAGGAAAAAAAGAAGGCAGACCATGAGTTTCGTTCAATAACTGCGTTCAAATAACGGTTTTATTCGATTAGATGGCCGCGATTTTTTCGAGAAGGACGTCACCTTTTCAGGGGGTAGTCGGTTGGCGGCATTTGCTGGTGGCAACTCTGCCTGGGCCCCACTTCCCCATCTGCCTTGACTCTTGACTCTTGAGGCCTATCAACCAGGCGTGTATTGTATTTCTAGGGACCCCACAACACAAGACACTTTTGCTTTCCGCAAGTTGGCACAATTTCCATCGCTTCTTTTGCTTTTCACCGCATGGGAATTTGTCCGTGCAGTTTCCATCATATAGGCTTTTTACTTTAGTGGCGTACACATTGATTTAAAACTTTGCTTTCAAACATCAAATTTTATAAACCACACTACCAAGGACCAATGTTTTAAAAACCGGACCGTTCATTGAACCGGTGAAGTGAAAGGGTCGAGGTTCAACCGGTCGGACTGGTTCAACCTCGGTTCAATGAATTTTTTAAAAAATTATTTATATAAATATATATATACAAAATAAGACATGTAATGGATTAATTTAATACTTTATATGATGAAAGGTTTACTATTTTTTAATAACTTGGATTTTTTAAAAATAAAATTTTTAAATTATAAGTTAAAACAAATAAATTTCATCTCAATTTCAATTATATCTAAATCCAACCCAAAAATATCACAATATTTTGAAATTATACAAAATTCACGTCTATGAGAATTTAGATATTGTGAACTTAAATTTTAATTTACGTTTTAGAGATTGCAATTTAAAATAGAAAGTTTGGAGTTCGAAGGAAGTCAAGAAAATCGAAAATAGAAATGTAAACTTGATAAGAAACAAAAAATGAGATAAAAGTGAGTGGTTGGAGCATTAAATAATTTGGGTTAAAAAAATAATTCTTTTTGAACTTTTTTCAATTTAATGGACAAAAACAAAATTAAAAGATGGAAGAAAACATCAATAAATTAAAAATAAAGAGGTTTGATTAAAAAGGGAGTGACAAAAAAAAAGAGGATAGAGAGAGAGAGAGAGTTGAAAATTAAAAAGAAAGAGCCATGAGAGGATGAGATTTTGTAAGAAAAATGGCAAAAAGAAATATGAGTATTTG